ATCCCAGCGCTCCCCTCTCTGCTGCAGGTGCTTCAAGGACTTCCAGCTGCAGCGAGCCAACAAGATGGAGCTGCGAAAGCAGCCGGAGGATGTGAGCGTGGCACGGCGGACTGAGTTTTACTTTGCCCAGGCACGCTGGCGCCTGACTGAGGAGGACGGGCAGCTGGGCATAGCCGAGCTGGAGCTGCAGCGCTTCCTCTACAGCAAGGTACCAAGCTGGGTGGTGGCACTCGCAGCCCCTGAGTGGGACCTGGGACATGCCATGCTGATGGCTCTGTTTGCGCAGGTCAACAAATCTGATGACACGGCCGAGCATCTGCTGGAACTGGGCTGGGTCACGATGAACAACCTCCTGCCCAATGCTGTGTACAAGGCAAGTGGCAGCCTGGGGGAGCAGCCCTGCACCCTGGGGACCCTCGAGTGGCCTGGCCAGGATGGCCTGTCCTCACCCCAGCCACCCGTCCTCTTCCCTGCAGGTGGTGCTGCGTCCCCAGAGCTCATGCCAGTCCGGCCGGCAGCTGGCACTGAGGATCTTCAGCAAAGTCCGGCCACCCGTGGGAGGCATCTCCATCAAGGAGCACTTTGAGGTGTCAGGGCCACGCCGGGAGGTGGCAGGGTCCCCGCGGGGTGCAGACAGCGCGTGCCCAGCTCTGACACACCTGTCTCCCGCAGGTGAACGTGGTACCCCTCACCATCCAGCTCACCCACCAGTTCTTCCACAGGATGATGGGTTTCTTCTTCCCCGGCCGCAATGTGGAGGAGGAGGAGGTGGGGGATGAGGAAGACAAGTCCAAGCTGGTGACAACAGGTGAGAGGCTCATGGTCGCCCTCCTCTCTGGTACCTGAGGGACGTCCCTGAGCAGTTCTGGCTGCCTGTCCTGTGTCTGTGGGCAGCTGCTGGTGGTCCACGTGTTGCGGAACAGGGGCTTGTGGTCTCCCCTGTGGGCAGGGAGCCGTTTTGGGAGGATCTGGGTCATGGCTGACACCCAGCCAGACACCAGCCACCGCCTCCCACCATTTGTCCCAGGGATCCCCGTGGTGAAGCCACGGCAGCTGATCGTGGCCGATGACTCGCTGGGCCCAGGGAAGGGAGTCACTCAGGGACTGAATCGGACGTCAGGGGTCAGAAGATCATTCCGTAAAGCACCCGAGGTACCCGCTGCTGCCTTGAGGGGGGAATCTGGGAGAACCCTGCTGCGGAGCCGGTCTGTTTTCCCTCAGCTGCAGGGCTAGGCAGCCATGTCCTCCCCCACTTGTCTGTCCGTTTTCTCCTGCTCCCTCCCACCATGAGGATTTGCATCCTTTACAACCAAGCACCTGCACGCTTGGTGGGACCCCTGCAGCATCTCATTTTCCCAGCACTGTGCCAGCTCTCACCTCCTCCCACCCCGGTGAAGCAATGCCATGGCGTAGTGCCCGGCTGTCCCTTCCCCGCTGGTTCCTGGCTGTGTCCCCTCTCCTTCCCTTCTGCTCATGGCTTCTGCTCTGTCTCCAGCATCCTGTGGATGATATCGACAAGATGAAGGAGCGTGCAGCCATGAACAACTCCTTCATCTACATCAAGATCCCACAGGTGCCGCTCTGCGTCAGCTACAAGGTACGGGGACGGTGGGATGAGGTGTGCTGGGGACGGGGACAGGGCACGGCCCCTGTGGTGGGAGGTGGCCTGGAGCATCGTCCCACACTGCCTGGTACCCCTCTCACCCAGGGTGAGAAGAACAGCGTGGACTGGGGCGACCTGAACCTGGTGTTGCCATGCCTGGAGTACCACAACAACACGTGGACGTGGCTGGACTTTGCTATGGCGGTGAAGAGGGACAGCCGCAAAGCCTTGGTGGCACAGGTACGTGGGACCCCATCCTGCAGTGCCTCCGTCCCGCTCGCAGGGAGGCTGCCGGA